ACAGTTGACCTGGAAGATTTACTGCCGCTTACTTCAACAGCTATCTTCGAGAACTGTTAAAACAATATAATTGTCAAACTAGTGTATTGCAAATCTCATTTTTATTGTTAACATTTGCCACTGAAATTGCTCTTTAATTGTTTGTTTTGGAACAGACACATAAAACATCATGACAGCGATACTTTGGCACATATTGGAAAATCTGCCATGAATAAAGATTTTTCCCCAATGAAATACAGTTTGCCTCTATTACTTGGCATTAAAATGATTTACTGAAATAGGCCAAAACATAAACCGCTGAAATAAAATGAAGAGAGATTACAGTCGCAGCAAAATGCAAAGGCCGATCTATTCAGACGCATAATTGAGACACGTTTAAATGCAACTTTGACTCCTTAGAAAGTGGCCAAAAGGGAAAAAGGATGCCTTCCGTCCTGCTCACCCATCAACTGGACACTCCAAAACCAAACCCTCGGGCACTTGTGAGGACTCACTTCCTCAGGAACCACATGTATTAGGCAGATCCATATACATGGCCGTAGTGTGGACCCTGAAGACTGTAGGAATCCATTCAGCTAATCCACTGTGTGCCACCTGAGCGTCCACTCCCCGCCCAACACAGCTGCTGTATTGCCACAAAAACCCGGTGTTCTCACCCAGGTGGCCCTGCCAGGAAAGCAGCGCCAGCTGCTGTGACAGCCCCTTTTTGTAAGCGATCAGCTACCTGGCTTTCAGGGCTTGGCCTGCCCAGAGCGGGGCACAGCGCAGGATAGAAAACGCTCCACCCTGAGTGTGGTGTTAGCGCTCCTGGGCCCTGGGATCGGACCTCGGAGACCAGCTCTGCCTTTTAGGCTTCCTTCCTCTCAGCCCTTTGGCTGATCTCAAAAGCCTCATTGAAGGAGACCGGCAGGGATCTCCCAGAGTTCAGCTGTCAACCTGTTTCGAGTTTCCAGTGTAACCCAGGACGCCAAGCCTGATTCTCTCCCGGCCTCACCGTGGTGGCCAAGCGGCCACCTCCTCATTGCTCACAGCTCCTGCAGCACCGAGGCTCTGAAGGCTTGTTTGAAGTAGAGGACACTGAGTTTAGAGATCATACGCTATTTGCATGGAACCACCCAGCACAAAGCCCTGCCGGACCTGGGCCCAAATGGCCCCTTATCCTCTCTCTCTCTACTTCCCCGTCGTCTCCGGCCCAGGCACACCAAGCTGGACGCCCCCTCTCCGCATGACACCTCCCTCAAGGCCCCATTCAAAGGTTACTTCTTCTGTGAGACTCCTTTCCCCACACTGAGCAGTGGGTCCCTCCCTCCCCTGGGACCCACAGTGTCTTCTCCCCCCTCCATTAAGTCCCACGCTGCTCCTGACCAATGATGTGCCCACGCCTGGCTCTGTCCCTGCCCCACACACCCAGGGGGCCAGATATTAGGCACCCAGACCAGAGGGCGCACTGCGTTTCCTGAGTTGGCAGTTACAATTGTAGATTACTTTCATCTTTTTAAAAAGATAATAAAGACTACTTTCAATGGGTTATGTATGTAACCAGTGCGATGCATACTGGGAGCTCTTGCTTTTCGCGCACAACCCCAGGAATCTTTTCTTAAAGTTTGTCCGGGGCTATTCTGTGCCCACGGGACATGAGATTCAGAATTCTGCTCTCTTCATCTTCGCTTTCCTCCAGGCCTGCAGGAGAGACACACACGCTGCCTGCAATCCCAGCCCATCAGAGGAGAAAGGCTTGCTTTCTCAATGAAAACCACACCGGGGAGGAGGCACTGCTGGTAAGAGCACAGCATGTGTGGAACTCCAGAAAAGAAGAAAGAAGCTATAAAAGCCTGTAATTGGGCTCCAAGTACATCAAATAGAAGCTGGAAAACAGTTAGGAGCTAAGAGTAAAGAAAAAAAAAATCCAGAGGTCACAGTGGACCACCAGCTGAATGATTCGAATGCTGTTTTGCTTTCTGAGTGGGTGGCTAGAAGACACAAGCAGTAGACAAGCATGCAGGGCCCTGCACGATCTTTTCATTGTGTCTCCTCCTGATCAAATCATTGCTGAAAGCTGCTACCTATATCCAAACCCCACATATGCTCTTGAACTTAGAAACCAAACCTAACTAAAGAATATCCTGTGTCTTCTTGAAACTAGGAATCCAACAGTTGTAAGATGCACCATTATTTTATCAAACAGTAAGAAAAACGCTGCCAATTAAACTACGACATGCTTTTTTATTACCTCAAAGTTTTATTTTATTTTTATGGAAAGAGCTATTTTAGATTTATTCAGACATACAATCTTTTAGCATATCTTTCTTGGGCACATAAAAAGAAAAATAAAGGTAAAATAAATTGGTTAAGGCAATGACAACCAGGTCACCTGGCTGAGAGCAATTGTAAGAAGCCACTGATTTGGAAAGTACATCCCATTTTCAGAAATGCTAAAATCTGGGGGAAAAATTGCACACACCACAGAATCAATAAAATACTATTTTATGCCTAGTTCAGTGACAACATTTAGAAAGGACATGGTAATCGTTTACAGAATAACTGCTACAAAGATATTTCATTGATTAGGAAATGTATTGCTATAGAGGGGAAAAGTTGATATTTTTCTTCGACTCACGAAGGACAAAAGTAGAATAGGGGTTTAATAATGTTCTTCAAGGGCATCTATGTCCTGTCCCCAAAAGCAGTCGTTTCCAAATGTGTTGTTTTTTTTTCTTTACTTTTTTTAGCAGCGGGAGAAGCCTGAGTAGAGAGCTGCTCCAGCTGGAGGAAGAGCATCACCCTGCACGTGCCTGTGAGGTCACGGGGCTCAGGACCAGCTGAAATCCTGGCCTGGAGAGTAGAGGTCACTGTCTACCCACCCCCTCCGATGCCACAACACAAGAACGAGGGTTTAAATCATGCATCATGCCCTAACCAGTTTGGCTCAGTGGATAGAGCGTCGGCCTGCTGACTGAAGGGTCCCAGGTTCGATTCCGGTCAAGGGCATGTACCTTGGTGGCGGGCACATCCCCAGTCGGGGGTGTGCAGGAGGCAGCTGAATCGATGTTTCTCTCTCATCGATGTTTCTAACTCTCTATCCCTCTCCCTTCCTCTCTGTAAAAAATCAATAAAATATATTTTAAAAAAAATAAATCATGCATCACTCAACTAAACATGTACTGTGGCCTGTAAAATGCAAAGCCTTCCTAGGTGCTCATTATGCGGAGATTAATTGAGTATGGAGGGGTTTTGTGAACCTGCAAGAAGAAACTTCCTATGTGCAGACTTCAGACCTTGAGGTGACTGCCAACAGGTAAGAATTTATCATCAGTGACCCAAGGAGCCATATTGACCTTAACAGGGCAGAGGCCCTCCCGCCACAGCAAGGGTGAGTCCCACCCACCCTTAAGGCCCATAGTAGCTCTACAGTCTCTCTGTCTGCAATACGCCTCTCTCTCTTTCTTGTTTTTGTTTTGTTTTGTTTTATTGATTTGAGAGAGAGGAAGGGAGAGGGAGAGAAGAGAAATTCGATTTGTTGTTCCATTCATTTATGCATTCATTGATTGTTTCTTGTGTGTGCCTTGGCCAGAGACTAAGCCCACAACCTTGGTCGACACTCTAACCACCTGGCCAGGGCTAACAACATCTCTTCTCAAATGCAAGACAGATGTGGCTGAGTTTGGACAGCACAGGATCTTGCCACTGTGCCCAAGTGTGTGGCCAAACGCAGCAGCTTACCACCCATTGCTCTCAGAAACGAATCCACCTCCACAACAAACTAGCAAGCGAAAAGCTTTAAAATCCCCACTAGAAAGCTCTTGATCTGCATATGTCTTCACCCCCTTTTCCTCCATATCGTCTCCTAATACTGCTTCTAAAATCCCTTTTTACTATTTGCTTTTATTTTATTGTTTGGGGTGTTTTTTTTTTAATTTTCTCAATTACAGATGACATTCAATATGATTTTGTGTTAGTTCAGGTGGACATCAGTTACACCCTTCTACTATTTGAAGCGATTTCAGTCCCGGCTCTAACCCACCACCACTCCTCCCCACCCAATTCACACAGCTCAGCAGCTCCAACCAGCTCCCCTGAAAGCCAAAGGGATCTGTAGCTAAGAAAAGTACTGTTTTCCCATGGAGCCACAGCAACACACAAACAACTTGCAGATTAATGTCTCAGGAGGAGTGAAGAAAGCTCGTTTTCCATGTGTAGGGTTAGCAGACCATCCCGGTTATTGCTCCGACCACGACCAGGATAGGTTAGGCTGGTCTGTCCCCGCCTTGGCCCCTGGTGCTGTCGGCAGCTCTGGAGGGAAAGTGTTTGGCAAAGGCGGTAACCTGTCGCGCCTCCCCCCCCCCCCCCCCCCCCTTCCCCGTACAGGGAGGCATTTCTTTGGTCAAGGGCACTCCCTTGCTATAAGCACCAACTCTATTTTCACCCTGATTTTCCGATCTGTATTTATTATAAGTAGGGATTTATCAGACGTGAGAAAAGTCAATCTGCATCCCATTTTATTCCGTCCACGTAGAAACCTTAGGTGGAAGGCTTTCCTGAACAGATGGCTTCCAATTAAGTCGCATTCTGTGAAGAAACGGTGTACGGAAGCTAAGCTATTCTACATTCGGAAGGAGATTCTGCCCACAGGCCTAAAACTGTTGATCTGACCCGTGACTACAGAGGGCTTCACATTGAACATCAGAAATTCATACTGAAGAATAGTGATCATTATTCTTCCCTCCCTCCACAAACCAACCTCAGAAAAAGTACTTTCCACATTAGACAACATATGGTTTTCAGTCAAGAGAAGTAAAATCAAAGGACTTTGAAAAGAGGGCAGTGTCCCGATACAATCTCAGAGCGGGACAGAGCTCAGACAAGGAAACTGAGGCCCGATGAGGTGAAGTCAGATCATGAGGGACACACAACAGTCTTCTGGGCAGTTAGGGTTAGCACTCAAATACACAACATGGTCAAAACTTTAAACAGCTTTAAATTTCAGATGCGTATTTCCTTACCAGGATGACTTCGAAAATGAGTGGGATCAGTTTGCTTTCCTCCACAAGTCTGTTAAGAAACAAAAAGATAAACACACATTAGACAGCTCGTGCGTCAACTGCCGCCCTGCCATGCAGCACCGCCGACCCACGTGTTACTGCTTAAATCCTGTGACTGAGAAATCATCTGATTAAACATTACTCATTTTTAATACACTGAACTACAACCATTTAAACACGAGAAATATGAAGCCTCTTTGCAAATGACTATTAGGTTAGCCTTATTGATCCGCAGCAAGCAAAATCTCAAGAGTAATATTTGTAAATGTAAGATTTTATTAAAATTCACAATTATTATGAAGACTATCAAACTGGGCAATGCCAGCCAAATCGCGTAACCCATCATCACTGCGCAGTTAAATTATGAGCCTGCCACACTGTAATCTTTCATATGTGCCTCTTCAGGTATCTTCTCAGCATTAATGATTTAGTGTACAGTGATTTTTAAAAAATCATCTTTAACTTTAAAAAAGGTAGGCACCAATCACCCAATAGAATCTATGCACTTCCCACCATTAAACCTCGTTTAAAAATGTCATCTCCTAGAAGAATTTTTCCATGCAATTGAAGAGAAAATAGCCTTGATTCAAAAGTGACTTCGTCTCTAAATGGTCCTTTAGTCCAAGGATCAGTAAACTTTCTTCTGCAAAGGATGAGACAGTAAATATTTTAGGCTTCGCAGGCCACACGGTCACTGTCATGGAAAAGCAGGCAAAAATAATACAGAAACGGGTAGGCATGGCTGTGTTCCAATGACATTTTATTTACAAAAACGGGCGAGATGCCATGTTTGGCCCACAGCTATAACTTGCTGGTCCTGATTCAGTTTAAAAATCAGATTCCTTCATTTTATTGGAATTTACTCTGTAAGATAAACTGCAGCACTTAAGCATGTTGCCCTCGTAGATACGCGCTGTTTGTCTATTTCACACACTATGCCAGGTGGATGGAAAAGGAATTTATCACCTGGCCTCCCTTGAGCTTGTTTGTCTATGATAATATATTGATTAAAAAAAAAAAAGTCTGTGAGACTAGCCCAAAAAGGATCACAGTGTTTACAAATATGTGTTAAGGGCAAGTGCGATCTAGAGCGAGTTCCAAAGACTGAAGCTTGAGAAAGCCCTATCTTAGTGTCAAGCAAAGGGAACGTGATTATTTCTGTAGGTTCATTAGAGGGGAGGGAGGAGGTTTTGACTACAAACGTTAAATTCATTTACATTCTCTCACTTTCCTGGACAACTGCAGGCTCAGATCTGAGTATGAAGCTTCTTACCCCATGGCAGGGCAGAACGGGACAAGCAGAGACTCAAGACCAAGCACAGCTTCGGGCTGGCACCGTCCCGGTTTTCAGCCTCAGCTTCCTAGCTGTTGACAATCTCTTTTCCTAAATTGGTCTTTTTCATTTTTTTCTAATAACATATACTCTCACTAGACCTGGGCTGACATAGCCAAGCTCCTGCATGTCAGAGTTGCCTAGCAACCAAAGCCAAGGAAGTCACAGGGACAGACACCACTGCTCCTCCACCGGTACCGGGAAGTTACAGGTCCCGCCAGCAGTCACCCCAACATCAGATCCAAGCATCCACTCCCGACACCAGACTTCTCATAACAGTATTTTAAAATACAGCCCCGGCCAGGGTGGCTCAGGTGGTTGAACGTCGTCCCATTCACTGAGAGGTCAACTCTTTGATTCCCGGTCAGGGCACCAGCCTGGATTGCAGACTCGATCCCCAGGAGGAGGTGTGCAAGAGGCAGCCAATAGATGTTTCTCTCTCACTGATGTTTCTCTCTCTCTCTCTCTCCCTCTTCCTTCCTCTCTCTCTCTCTAAATCAATTTTAAAATATTTTTAAATAAAACATATTCTATTATTAACATATTACTACCTTAATTCATTCTTAATCAACAACCTCAATTCATTCTTTAAAATTATAACGCGTACTTCTCCGGATCTCCGCAGGATGAGCAAGCTGACCCGAACCACCTCCGAAATCTCTTTTAACTAAATCCTAACACTCCAGTCCTTACATTCTTCTGAAAACAAGCAACCATAACAACTTTGCTCTTTGATTTGACTAGGGGGCAAATCATTTAGGGCCACATCTGGTAAATAAAAAGGGAACCCACGCTGAATAAAGCTACTTTTCATTAAAAAAAATTTCTATGACATTCTCTGTGATTCATGGACCAACCCCAAATGTAATTCCAAAAGCACGCTAAAGCAAGGGCTGACCGAGAGCGGCTGTAAACACTGGCCATTATACAAGGCACTATTTGTCCAGATGGTGAGACGTGAGCAGAGATGAGCCTACTGGGTATTGACTGGCATCTTCTTAATAAAAAATAATAAAACAGAGCACACCCAAGGGTGTTGCGTTGATATTTTTGTTTCAGTTCTGGGTATACATATAGGGTGGGGCAAAAGTAGGTTTACAGTTGTTTGTAAGGAAAATAAACAATAAGAAATAACAATACAAGAATAAACTCTGTTTTGCATATTCACAACTGTAAACCTACTTTTGCCCCACCCTGTATGTGCACTGGGTAGTGATGGAAAATGCTTTTTTTTTTTTTTAAACCACGAGTTATAGATAAAACATCTGAAATCCACACACTGCAGACTGCTGTGGAAACAAGTCATTTGCCTTCACTACGTTCTGAACATTTGATTTTTAAAACTCGGTCTCCTTACTGGAAGCCTTTCCACTTCTCCCAACGAGCGGCTCCTGCCTGCAGTGCTCAAGCTCAGCTCTGAGCCACGGGCACCCAGCTCTCTCCTCCCCTGACTGGACGCTGGGGGCCGCTCCGGGGTCAGGCCTCTGCAGACAGGGAGGGCCAGGCTCGCCTCTAGAGAAAGCTGACGTGGCCGACTCTCAAGGAGTGACTCCGGCAGCAAGTCTTCCATCGTCACAGCAGCCTGGAGAAGCGTGATGCAAACACCATCTTACTTTAGGGCTCTGTTGCGTTGGCCACCATGTGTTTAAATCAGCAGGATGAGCCTGTTATATCCTAAGTTCGAAAAGAATGAAATGTCTGTGGTTTATGAAGAGCCTGGAGGACGGGAAGTAGAGAGATTTATCTGAAAAAATGCTTAACCCGAAACAAACAAAATAGGGATCTTTTTAAAATGTTCCCTAATCTTAAAAGGACTGTGAAGATATTAACTGCAATACAGCACACGTTTCTTCCTTTATTTAGCCACCTCCGCACTCTGTGTCTAAGTGGCTCCAGAAGAGGACACTGAAATATACAGTCTTCTCAAACGTATTTCCTGGGACTACTTTACTGTGTGGGTTATTTTGTTGTTGTTGTTTGCTTTGTTTTGTTTTGTTTGGTGTGTATGTGGGGGGCTTTTTCTCTTCATTACATCTCCAATAATCCTTCACAGCAGCACTAAATGACTACTGACTGGATATCGGGGAGAAGGTGTGGGGATCTTAAAGGCCATCTTGGAATTCTGCCCACCACAAGTCTGAACTTGCCCTCCACCCCAATTCCATCTTACCCCACCTCCTTTTTTTAAAATCCTCGCAGGAGGGTATGTTTATTGATTTGAGGAAGAGAGGAAGGGAGGGAGAGGAAGCGGAAAGGGAAGGGGGGGGAGGGAGAGAGAGAGACACCCTGACTGGGGACTGACCCGGCAACCTAGGTTTACGCTCTGACAGGGAATCAAACCCGCAACCTTTTGGTGCATGGGACTATGCTCCAACTAACCGAGGCACCTGGCCAGGGACACCCCCTCCTTTTTAAAAAACAATTCATATTAGTTTCTTCAAATTAGCTGCTTCTGGGCAACTATGTAGAAACCCAAAATAGATGCTGGACTTATAAAAAAAAATTCCCCAAAATGCTGTTTTAGGAGATTTAGAGTTTGTATTTGTCCCTAACGGAGCGCTAGATGGAAAACAAAGCTCTTTCATTTCTTATGACTTATATAATTTGCCAGTCTAGTAGACCAACAGTCATTTTTAAATAAAAAAATCTCTAACATCAGCTGAATTTCAAATTATTGGTTCAGTGAATCAGCTTCAAACAGAAATGGTTTCATAATGTTTCGCTATAGCATGATATTATGTCTACCCTGAAAGCAATAATATTGGTAACATTTCTCTTTGAAATGTCTGCCCTTGCCTGCAATGTTGGCTAATTCTCTTGCAGAGAACTGCAGAAGCTTCCCCAGTAAAGGTACAGAGATAAAAAATTATTTTTCACACAAACAAGGAAGGGGGCAGGGTTGAGAGTTTAGCAGCGTTAGCACATAGAATCGTTAGACCTGGCTATTTTACAAAGATCTACAGAATCCTCCTTATGGGCAGGCGTTATACTTCTTCCCTGAGGAAGTTTACACCCCAGTGGGCAAAAAACATATACGATACAAAAATAATCCAAGTTATACAGATGAGGTCTTAGAATTAAGTTAGAAAATGAGGGTCCTCCAGAATGCACCCCCGATGTATGAAAACCTCCCCTTGCCTAAAGTAGCATGAACAAGATATTTCAGTAAGAGAAACTATGGTTGAGTGAAAAGTGTTTTTCCCACAGAAAGGAGATTTTAGACGGAAATAAAAGAATTGCATGTTACATTAGCAACTTTGCAAAATGCTTTTCTACCCATGATCTCGACAGATGCCCAACCAGGCCTGTGGTGATGCATGAAACGAGGCCACAAAACGCTCCTATCACAGAAAGAGTGGCAGGTGAGATGGAAGAGCTGGGCGGCTCATTTACGTCCCTGCCCTCTCCTACCTCCGCCTGCTACAAGGTGTCTGAAAGGCCTGGCTGTCAAGGGCTTTCGGGGAACTGTTCCTGCATGGCACCCACACTCTTGTTATCCAGTGGATTGTGGATTGTCACTAATGTTAATGTCTAGTAAGAACCACCAGCCTGCCCGGCCGGCGTGGCTCAGTGGTTGAGCATCAATCTATGAATAGGAAGTCACAGCTTCGATTCCCAGTCGGGGCACATGCCCAGGTTGCAGGCTTGATCCCCAGGAGGGGGCATGCAGGAGGCAG